AAAAAAAAAAAAAAAAAAAAAAAAAAAAAAGCAAAACTGATTGATTGATTGACTGATCAAAACGTTAACAGATAAATTTTTTTTCATTTTTTTTCTTCTCCTTTTTTTTTTTTTTTTTTTAATGTGCAATCCTCGTGCGGTACCGTAGATGAAGGAATTTGAAATGAATGTGTGAACAATTCAAATTACTACCAAGCAAAAAAAAAATTGGTACTGATGATATATGTTAAAGAAACGAAACTAAAAGTTAAATATACATTTAATACACAAAAAAAATGCTTAAATATTCAACTATCTATTCAAAACCTGCCATTTTTCGCCATTAATCTCACCATTACGACTATGCGATTTAAAAATAATATTAACATTCGCACCAATGAAACTGCATAAAAATTGAATTTTTGAGTAGTTTTCTTCTCCTTCTCTTTTGTTTCCTCCTTCTTTCTTCTTACCATCTATGACTGTTTCCGGTTTAAGATCAATTAAATTTGCAGTTGAGAAATGAAGAGTTGATATCAGGTTTTACAACATTTATCAAATATGGTTAATAATTGATTGCATAGTCAAATGATTCAGCAAATAAAAAAGAACAAAAAATGAAATTGTTGTTTTAGCATCATCTCTTCTGTTCATCATATCTATCATCAGAGAAGAAACAGTATAGCTAATGACTAAGACTATTCTGCAATCTCACAAATAGATACTATAGTCGTTAACACACAGTTTGTCCCATATAACCTATGAGATAATTTTAAAAATTATAATTATTAGCATACTGTTTTACAACAGATAGCAAATATCGGCAATATTTCTATAGCCCAGATGACCAAAAATACATTTATCAATAATACTACAGATGTTCATCGCATTAAAACTGCTAACATTTTTGAACAGATAAATCAGCTACAAAATTTATCATCCAAACTACGATTAATCAATGCACAAAAAAATGCACTAATCACGATATAGCAAAAAGTGCTTTAATATGCACAAAATGACCTAAAAACCGAATAATAACTTTAAAATTCTAGGAATTATGATAGACAATTTTGTCTTATTGCATAAGACAAAATTCTGTGTTAATCAGACTGATGTTTGCGCCAAGAAACTATAGTTTGTATTACTTCAACTAAGATAAACTTCATTGAAATTCAAAAAAAAAATTTTTTTAATTTTTTTCTTGCAAAAATAAAAAGTTAAAAACTTGATATGAAAAACTGGTTGATTGATTCCTGACGTAGTTTTTCAAAAATTAGATAAAACAGAGACATTACCGAGACGTTAAAGGAAATTGCTGGGAAATATAAACGAATAAAGCCTGGAATAAGAAAAAGTTAGTAGAATGTGTTTATTAATGTTAGAACTATTTTAATAATAAACCTGGAAAAAATTGGTTCTTAACATAATTGCCCAATGTAAGTCATCCACTGAATAGTATTGTTTTCAAGTTGACTTCAAATTACATTCTGTATTTCGGACAATTAGACAAGTTTTTCAACTGTGAACAGCAACTGTCTCGGAGTTACAGTGAACCCTGTTTTTTGAATAATAACCAAGACAATTGTCGTAACTGCGAACAGGAACTGTTTTAACTTGACTGTAATTCATATTCTGAACATATACTCAAATAGTTTCAGTAAATTACTGAGTGCACTGAACAATGATTGATCCGTTATGCAGTACATACGATACTGCATTAAAGTCACTAAAACCATTATTTATTGCTCTTGGAAACCGTATCACCGAGTCATTCCGAAATGCCATTGTTAAATGGCTGATACGGCAAAAAGTTAGAACAACGTACCTGCCCTCCACAATGAAAACCACGAAAAGCATTATACTCGTAACGGTCAGATTATCATTGCGAGAACCTTTGGCTAACTGCCCAGAATTTCTGACTAATTTTTCCTAGGGAGTTCTTCCATGTTCCGTGTGGCACAAAGATTGTTGCTTGTGTCTCTCTGTCTGCTTGGGTCGCATATGCAATTGGCGCTCCAGAGGCTTTCTGCGCTATAAAATATATACATCCGTTAGGCATAATTCCTGTATTGTTGGATCCAGTTATATCCAATTATTTTTTTACTTTTTTTTCCGCTTTTACTTCGATTATATCTGTACATATTCTTCCTGTTCTTTTTTTTTGTTTTTGTTTGTTTGTTTTTTTTTTGCAGTAATGTCGCCTACTCCTAAACAGGTTTCTCGAGTAGGTCCAGTTCGAAGGAAAGATAAGACAAGTGATAACCCTATCGCCTCGGTGCTTCCGTTTTTTGATGCAGTTCGGGAGTATCCTCGCCCAGCGCAGGTTGGAATTGGCGGTGCTTTTGGACTGTGAGTTTTGCTCACGGGTTAAAAACAAATTGATTTGAAACTAATTTAGCGTACAGAAAACTAACGTTCTACATTAAATTGTACGTGTTTAGATTGTTATGATATTTTAGAACATTTAACCGATAATTATACAATATTACAGGATAACTGGTTACTTTTTTACTAAATGCAGCAAGGTAGCTGCTGGTACGCTTGGAATTGGTCTTCTTCTCTATCAGGTAACTGCATAAACTATTTTTAATTTTTTAAATATATACTGAAGGGAAAAACGTAAATGTTCTGAAAGGTACGTTGCTCCATAGTGTATCTTAGGTCAGTTTGTTGTAAGTGAGCATTAACTGAGGATGATTTACTACCGTCTGCCTGAAATCCTTGCTTTTTTTTTTGTTTTTGGATTTATGAGTAATTTCAATGAAATTTTTACATTTTTGTGTATTTTTTGCACACTTATTTTTTTGCTTTTTACTTTTCTTTAAGACTTCTTTTCATATGCAGTTCTTGTATTACAGTATTGTAATCACAAAAATTATTTTCGTTCAAACGGTTTGCGTTTGGAAAATGGCGTGGAACGAGTACGTGAGACTACCGAGCACCAGTTAAGCCATCTTAGAGACTTTCTGTCAGATGAAAGAGTCGTGAGTCATTTAATTTTGCTTGCCATTCGACTGTTTGGGAACTTCTTATGATGCAGTTTTTTTGAACACTCAGTTTTGGTCAACGAGTTTTGCTACATTTTTCAATTATGCCAGATGACTTATAGAAAACACAAGTTTAATCTAAGAAGTTATGACCTGATAGTCAACTTTCTTTTTGCATATTTACAGTCTGCAGTCCGTGTATTCGTTGATTTCTTCAGTTGCAGGGCAAAAAGTTTTTGAAAGACAATCAGTTTTTACTGAGTGGTTTCTTTGCTGGATGCCTAATCGGATATGGTTTTGCGTAATCGATGGTGAGATTCACAGATGTTTTCTTCTTACATTGTACAGTCTTCTAAGGTTTTCTGCTGTCGGAAACCTCTCATAAGCCATAATCTTATCTTTATTGAATGATGCTTTTCATTCAAAAAGTTGCTTACAGTCTATTGCCTGCTAATGTTTAGATCTCATTTAAGTACTGCTGAAAATGGAGTTTTATAACATATGCTACTGCTGCTCAAATGCCTTTAAAATAATGGTTTTATTGCGTTTATGTAAGTCTCTTTGGTTATGCCTCATACCACCGAAGCACGTGACTGTGATTTTTGCAAAAAGTGAGAGCACTGTAGGTTGTACTTTACTAGGATAGAAGTTAAGCCTGGATAATTTAAAAGTTTCATAGAACGACTGGTTCCAAAAACTACGTTGAAGATCTGTTTCTCTTGCGTAATCGTCGCTGGTTCTTATCGGAAATGTATTGGATTGCCGCATATATTAGTGGGTACCGCCTAATGGGAATCAATAGTTTTATTTTCTTAGTGCTATGTCTTTAGTATTGAATGTATAAGTGACGTAGAAACAGTAATTGAGTAACGAGTATCTCTTTTTGCTTTTATGAAGACTAGTTATTGCTACTAAGAGAATTGACTTGCAGGCCCAGTTTCTCATACAGCAGCTGTCAGCAAAAACATGCTTTGGCAGATTTAACAGATGTCTTGTATGGTAACTCATTACACGTCTGTACATCGTCTGTTTTTTCAAGTGCAGCAGAAAGAAGTGAGCTTATAAAAAATGTAGGTCGTGCAAATGTACTTAAGATGTACTTAATGATTGCAGGGTAATAGTGGTAGTACGCTAGTCTTCTCTTGAAAAGTTGCTTCCATGAAATTCATTATACTGAAGCGTCTTTTTGGACAGCTTCGTTATATTGTGCCAAGACGACTTGAATGCTGCAGCCAACATTTAAATCTACGGGTTGACGAATTGTATATCTTGTTCACTACTTTTTTATTTAGACTAATTTTCAAGCGCATTTAGCAGCATTCAAGTCACTGCTGTTTTCACATTCTTCTTCAATGTTTGTCGCTCCTTTGAAATGAGATGCATTGCTTTTTCTTGATTTTAGCTTAGTTTTGTTTCCTTCCTTAAGAATAAAAAAAAAAAGACCAGGGTCTGGTTGTCTACAGGATAATCGAAGTTGCAGAAAGCGATAAAATGGTAAATAATAAGGCGCGAGACATTGAGCGACAAGTCGCTTTGTTACGTGCCAAAGGAGAATTGCCAAAATATGGCAAACTGGTTTATTCTTCATAACTCGAGAAATGACAATACTTAAAAGTGAATTTTTTGAAGTCAAGTAGATAAGATGCTACTCCTTGTTAACACACAGTCTTTTTAAAGATCTTAGTTTTTTCCTCTACAACTACAATGTATTTGAAAGACCTTTGAAGTATCGGAAAAAGAGATGTCACAATAAAAACAGAAGAACCAATTTACAGACAAAGTCTTTACATAAGGCAGTTAATAAACAAAAAATGGAAAATCTGACTCGTTTAAGTTACTCGCGTTGAAAAAGGTATTTCTTTCTGTTGCCGCACAGCTCAACAAAATGATTTAGCGCAACAGTCTCTCTGAGTAAATTATAACGAACAGGCTCTTTTCTTCGCTCTACAAACATCTATTAAAACAAAAACAAATGGAACTTTTTTCTGCCAAAAAAGATCTATATGAAGAAACAAAATCTTCAGACACCGATAGACAATCGTGATTTGAGGTTCAAACAATGAAGTCGAGTCATTTAAACATCAGCAGAATAATACGAATCACAAGTAAGAAGGTTATGTAAAATGATTTCAAAAGAAGTCAAGAAACCCATATGAAAGAAATGAGATGTTAGAGGAGTTTTATACAAGGCTGCATTAAGCAACAACTAGGCGCATAAACAATTATTGAACAATAAACATTTGATTAATATAGTCTAAATCGTAAATCGGTTAAAAATACGATAAACAAAGTAAAAGAAAAATTGACATATGACTGGGTAAAAACAACAACCAGGAATGAAGAAATTTGGGCTATAATTGCAAACAAAAAAAAAAATAGAAATTTTAATCACTGAAAACTTTGTCTCGTCCAGAAATAACCCGTCTTCTGATGAATACCGCTTGTCCCACATTCCAAGTCTATATTTTAAGAAACTACTTTAGCTGGCGAAAAGTCAAGAAGTCACAACTACTCTTTGCTCGGAGAGATTACTCAAATGTGGACCGCCCAAATATACGAATAATAGGAAAACGTACCCGTAAGAAGAAACTCAGAAATTTAGTGCCAAAAATTTTTTTCTGAGTTTACTCTTTTTTTTCTACTAATTGTAAGACTTGCACATTATGTTCAGGATATGATGGTTTTTCATATGTTTCGGACAGATCCTGACCGAATGAATTAATTGGTTTGGCACAATGAAGAAGTCCTGCTTTCTCTTCCATTGGTGCATCTTCAGTTTTTTTAAACGTTTCTGAGTTCTTGTGCAAAGTGCCTCCAGATTCAAGTCCACAACACGATGGAGGTAAAGACAAGGTTGCATTACTGAAAAAAAGTTATAAACAAATCAGATTAATAATCAATTTTTAAAGTAAAAAGTATTTTGCGATATCTTGATAATGGCTAAGTACAAACTATGATTCGTCGCGCAAGAAAAGACAATCCGGAATAGCGGCAAATATGGCTGGAAGCAAGACTAAACCATGGAGAAGACCCCAACCAACAACCAAAGTAATCGTACGAACAAATACAGATGGAGTATAGTCGTGATGAAAAGCAACAGGCAAAAAGCAGACTAAAGTTGAAATGGCAGCTTGCATCATTGGCCAGCCAATTGAATCCAACGTGCACATAAGACATTCCGTTTTTGTAGATTCACTAAAACAAGAAATAAATCGGTAAAAAGTGTTTTTTCAAGAGCAACTTTACAGGGTTAATGTTGGTTTACGGCTTACGGCGAGAGGGTCAAACGGGCTCTCTGGAAGTGATATGATACATGAGCGGTGTAGTCTACCGAAAAACCAATTGACATTACGATTGCTGACATTGTCACCGGATCGAGATCCAGGCCCCACCAGGAGAGAAAACCGAAAACACCTGCAAAAATTCTGACCAAATGATTATTCATCCGTCTATTTACTAGTAAAAATAAAAAGCTTTGTGTCAAAATAATGACTGATTTTGAGCAGATTAAAATACACAAAGTAAAAAAATAGTCCCATTTTTGATAAGGTCCATACAGTCTGCTCAAAATGGCTTTCCGCAAAGAGCAAAGCTTTAATCACAAAAAAACTGAAACTGTAAACGCAAAAACCAACCGAGACTGATAGAACAAATAGCCCATCCTGCCGTAACGACACCAACTGCGGAAGGAACAAAAAGTACGCAGACACCCAACATACACACTAAAGTTATCGTTGCTGTTTGAACTGTTGTCCCTTTAAGCCCAAATATACCCTCAAACACAGGTGAGTTTTCTGAATATATTGTGACGTTAAATTTCTTCCACCTAGCTGCTGCCTCACGCCATCTAAAAAACCGTTTCAAAAAATGAAAAATATTGAGAAAAATATGAGGGTCTAAACAATTTTGGTGAAAAAACAATTTATCTGGTCATGCCCTCGACTGCAATTTGAAAGAAAAATTAAAAAATTGCTAAGAATACAACGAAGAAATCTACTCGGAAGTAGATTTTTCGACACCGTTTCTTGGCAAAAGAAGCGCCATTCTTCTGCTAAGTTTTCCACCTGCAGGTCGGAAGGAGGCAGAAACTTATTGAGGAATACTTACTCGACATTCCCATATCCCATTATACTCTTTCAGCAAAAAAAATATAAACGTTGGGAGAAAATATATAAAGCAACGGACGGGTACTCATTAGAAAAACTAAGTTTGGTATCACCTAGATGCCGTGTACAGTTACGAAGCGTCCTCCACTGCAAAATTCAAATAAGTGAACAGCAGTTCCCCTCGTAA